CCCTCCAAACATGCCTGTTCCAACATATTGCAGTCCATCACAACATTTATCAAGTGCTTCATTGTCTTCATCTTCAGCATCAATCTTGTACCCACGTTGAAATTGCCTTGCTAAGATATTTTAATCACTGGCATACGGCTTACTTTTGATTGATTATGAGAAAACAAGTACTGCTAGAATAGATGTGGTACTGGATGTTTACAAAAAGTTATGAGCTTCAACTCTCTCACCTTTTTAATGGCTTCAAATGTTCACAGGAGAAACAGAAACTAGAGAACATACTAAGATAAATGAATCTAGAGAAAACTTCTTCAAAAGGGATAAAGTTTACAAAGTGCACCAGTTTAAGTTTCAGGTTGCTCCGTGATTCTTTTAGCGCGTAAAAAGTTTCTTCCTGTCTAACTGGTAATGCATGTTGATCTTAACTTGCATTAAGAATTTCTATCTTGCATATTTAGCTTGTTTTGATGAGCCTAATCTTGCCTTCATATACAGTTAATTTTCATCTTGCACTCTTTCCTAGGGTTAAAAATTCCAACCTGTTAGAGCTCAGCTGCTTCATCTCTTGACATGTGTTCCATCGCTTTGATATCTACCAAAACAGGACCAGCCCCTTCACAGTGTCTGTTGTTGAAATGCTTAATAATTCTTGTCTCTTCTTACTCGGAATTCTTTTCCACATAAATGTATAGGTTTTTGCATGCAACGGAAGCACAAATGTATATTTCGGAAGAGCAAGAGGTTATTTTTTTCTTAATTTTACTGGCGGCGCATTTGTGCTGGTGGTAGAGCAAGATAAGGAACAAGCGGGAACAACACAGGTCCTCTAAAGACACCGCTCATAAGAAAACATAATATGGTGGAAAAGTTGCAGTTTTTGCATACATCAAAATTCACGTTTAAAGAGGAAGTCAAGAATATATTCTCAGACCACACAGCTCGAAATGGTGGGTGGTTTCACTTGTATTCTGCTCTCAGCAGCAGATTAGCATTTGGTGAATCCTTCGATACTTTTAGCATAGAAACCTAGAGCCACCACTCCTGGTAACGAGGTCCTAATATATGAGTAAATCTAATAAATCCTACTATTTGGGTTTGTGTATTCAATGATGTACTAATACTAATGCACTAAATTTGATTTAATAAATATAAAGATTTAAATATTTAGAATAATAGATATAGATCATAATGGATGGTTTTCACAAACCAAAATTTGAGAATCATAGAAAATAAGAAATTTGAAGGACAAAAATACCAAATGGGTCAAAAGGTAATGTTGATAACATCCAATTTCCTTAATTAAAAAAAAAAGGCTACTAGTTGGTTGACAGAAGCTCCCACATTTTAGATTCCTCAATACAATCATTCCTCTGCAGCTTCTACACAATTTGATATTCATGAATTTGTTATTAGCACTGCTTGTTCAAGTTGTCGAAGATGCCGGGCATGCTTCTTTCCCATCTTATGGTCCTCCATCACCTTTTCAGACAAGGTCCCTACCTTGCATGTCTCACACCAAAATTTGAACTCTCTATTCTCATGCTCCTTACTGTTTTGCTTTTCATGAGTTGTATTATATACATTTTTTCTCAAGTCATCTGCATTGTCATCTATCAACAAGGATGGTGCATCATTGTCGTTTGGCCCTAATGAGCATTCTTCTGATTTCTGCCCTATTCTCAGATCATTGCAAGATTCCACAAACTGGATGGATTTAGGTTTATTTTGTAAAGGATCAATGTTGTAGTTTTTCTCATCCTTCTCTGCTCTAAAAGCAGCCTCCTTCTTTTTGTGTTTCTTTCCTTGGAGATGCTCATTCAGGTCACCTTCGCTTGTAGTACTTATCTGACAATGTGCACAACTCCACACTTTAACATTTTCCTTTAGAGAACTGCTTGATGAAGGCTTGGAAGTTGGTGTTACAACTTCCAATTTTGGTCCAGGGAAAATTGTGTCAGGCTTAGCCTGCACCAATGTCAAAAGAAGCAATTCTCATAAACTTAAGCACCTCATAAATGGTTTACATATCTGAAAGCCTATTGACAATTTAATAAACATTAAATGAATGTCGTAAAGCAACACCAGCTCGTACTGAAGTGGTCATATTTGTAGTCATGTAGTGCATGATAATTTAAAGAAATGGACCTTGAGCCTAACTCAACCCTAAAATCTACCTCATGAAGGGAGGATTGTCAAGACCATATAAGATGACCACAACCCATTCCCTCAACCAATGTGGGACTTGACACTCCCCCACATGCCTAGGACGGGAAACAGGAGCGTGGATAACATAATATGGGCGCCCAACATTGAGAAACATAACAACAATGATCGGATGGGTCTAGCTCGGATACCATGTTACCAAACAAGGTATTAGAGGAATGTTGTATGTATTATTTCAAGAGATTCAAGATACAAATACAATTACAGTGTATCTAAATAAGGGATGAATCAAAGAAGAACATCCTACAAATCTGCTAGCTATATATGGCTATGCACGTTCATAACAAGTCTAATTTATTCTTGTAAGAAATATCTTCGCAAACAGGACCACCCTCTTCACACTCTGCCTGTTTAGGGGCACTAAGATTGTTATATGGGATTTTTGAGGAATGAAAGCATGTGAACAGGTGAAATGCTTTTCACTACAGAAGAATTAAGGGAAATTATGGGTTTAGTAGTTAACTAAGGAAAAAACATAATTTTTGATACTTTATTTAATACAAGACAACTAATAGCCGCAGGACGTAACCAATATTCACATACATACAATAGTTTATGGGTTGGAAGGTACACTACGTCTGTGCAGAGAAGCAATCATAAATTTGCTGGAAATAAGCAAATCTCATCAACTAGTGCATGGTATCACTATATTATGCAAAACATTCAATCAGTACTCAACTGCTAATATAATTTTCAGATTTACTATGAAATGTAAACGCAAAAATAGTAGCAGCATAAGAAGTTAATGAATGTTTCATACAGTATATGGATTATTATGGAGTAAGGAACAACAGCTGAGACACCTGGCTGGGGGTGAGTATTCCTGCTTTATCACAAATGTCTGTAGCCTTGATCCCTTCCCCATGATGATTCAAACTATGATCCTTGGACTGCAAATTGGAGATCATCATATTTACACGGAGAATGAGTATTGGAAAGAATCAATTTGATAATAAACTGGCTACTCTTTGATAAAGTAACATCTGACATACCTTGTTTGCAATAAGTTCCTCTGGTGCACTACATTCATTCTCTTCTGCCACAGCCGTAGAACTCATTGTTTTTTGGAGTTTGACCAAGTGCTCCCTCCCGTTAAGATCTGCAGCTGTACAAATTTCGCCAGGGCACCACATGTTACAAGTACCACACCACAGCTTAGAATTATGAACAGAAACATCAGCATATTCTTCAGTTGCTTCGGCTTTTTTTGCTGATAAGTACCTGATAGGTGGACTTTTTCTTTCAATTCTTCATTAGTACTGTGCTCTGATCGTACTGCAGCGGCATGCTTAACTTCCTCCTGCTTAAGCTGATTTACCTGATTTGTTGGAGCTGCTGTTTCATTGACCTGTGTTCCTGTCGTTTTCTTCTCAATCCAAATTAGATTTTCCCTTACACTTTTAACCTGCAGTCACACAAGGGACATTCTAATCACTGACAATACCATTTACTTTTGATTGATTATAGAAAAACAACTACTGTCAGAATAAATGTGGTACTGATGTTTACAAAAAAATTATGAGCTTCAACTCTCCCCCCTTTCTAGTGGCTTCAAATGTTCGCGGGAGAAACAGAGACACGAGAGCATACTAAGATAAATGAATGTAGTGCAAACTTTAAAACAGATTGATTTTACAAAGTACACTAGTTTTAGTTTCAGGATGCTCAGTGATTGTTTTAGCATATACAAAGTTTCTTCTAGATTTAAGTGATAATGCACTTGATCTCAACGTGCATTATCAATTTCCATCTTGCACATTTAGCTTGATTGATGAGCCTAATATTTCCTCCATATACAGTTAGTTTTCATCTTGCCCTCTTCCCTACTTGGCCACCAAGAGTATTGAGCAGCTAATTAGAGAAATCTCATGGGAAATCAAGCTCTCCTATTGTAGTTGATCATCACTAAACAGCTTGCGTAATGTTTTAATCTATCGTTTTCCAGATAATTGAGTGCAGAATAATGTGTTAACTGATAACATCCAAAAAAGTAACCAATGAAATTCTAGGATTAAAAACTACAACATGTTTGGGCTCAGCTGCTTCATGTTTTGCCATGTGTTCCATCGTTTTGATATCTTTCCAAAAGGAACCAGCCCCTTCACACACTATCTGTTTTTTTGGATAACGTAAAGAAAATTTCATCAGAAATCATACCAAGAAGGTAGTAACTAGTAAGAATTATAAAACAAGGAAAATTTCAATTCTCCACTACGTTCCATGCTATCCAAAAAAACCAAATTTGTGTCATGCCCTCTACCATATGAACCTTAAACCAACAGTATAATTTTAAGAAACATCTATTCCTCACAACCGTCTAGTTTGGGGCACTATGATTGTTATTTACGAGATTTTAAGGAATGACAGCATCTGAACAGACAAAATGATTTTCACTACTAAATCTGTTGTCAACAAAGGAAAATTCACTCTTTGATGCAATTTTTGCGAAGACGGATAGCTGCATAATGTTACACGCAACCTATTCCTCATGTTCATTCAAAAGTTTATGACTTGGAAGGGACACTGCATCTATGCAATCGAAGCAGAATTCATGAACTTGATGGAAATAAGCTTCAAAAATTAGTGCATGATATCATAAACATGCACACCATTAAATCTGTACTCAACTGCTAATGCAGCTTTATAACTCATTATGGAGTGTAAACGCCAATAAAGCAGCATGACAAGAAGTTAAAAATTGTTTCATACAGTACTGGGAGCTTGGAACAACATGTAAGCACCTGGTTGGGTATAAGCATTCCTGCTTCATCACTAGCATCAATAGTCTTTATCTCTTCAACATAATGATTCAAACTATAATCCTTGGACTGCAAATAGGATATCATGATAAGTACACTAACAATGCTTGTTAAAACAATTCAGTAGTCAAGTCAAAGTTGCTATATAATTCAGTGGACTATGTTTACTTTTGCTTCTGTAACGGTGGTAATCTAACTTTTGGTGACTGAAATGGATTAACAGTCTTAATTCTCATATAACTAGCTGATGTACACCAAAACAAGTGTGCGTCCAATTTTTGTATTGAACTGGCTACTCCGTGCTGAAGTACCATTTGACATACCTTGCTTGCAATAAGTTTCACCAGATCATCAGATCCATTTTCCTCGAGATACCTCTCTGCCATAGCCAGAAACGATTTATAATCGAGAGATGGATCCTCCATTGGCTTGTTAAGCCAGTCAGTGACAATTTGAAGGTTGACAGACAAGCACGAATATAGAAGGCGTTGGTAAACATAACAAGAACCATAAAACTGAGTGATAACAGCGTCCAGTTTCACCAGCAAACTTGGATGAATAAGATTTTGATAAAAATAACACGCGCCATTAAACTGAGGTATTACCAGCCAACATATGGTAATTAATTTTATATATGGCCACAGAGGAACCCTGCCAAAGTAAGTGGAAAGACATTAGCATATGCAACATGAGTTGTTACTCATGTTCAACCCATGCATATAGCACGAATTTCAAGAAATGTTTCAAGAAACTCTCCAGCTCTTGAAATCCTCAACTCACCAAGGGAATTTAAGAAACGCAAACAAGAAGATATATCACTACCAATATTAAAGAGTAACCGAAATAAGTGTATTATAAAACTTGAGGTTCACCTGAAAGTAATAGATTCCGTTCACAATTTGGTTCAATGAGTCAATATGAGGGTATGGTTACCTAAACAAAACGTAATTACCAGAGTGGGGTATACAAGCACGAGAATTTGCATGTGAAACATATACTTATCCTTTTGTTTTTAGCATCAAGTAGATAAATGCCCATGAAGTGAGACCACTAATTGAGAATATCATAAATTAGTTAACCATTAATGGCATAGACTTTGCTCTTATTTTTCTTCAAAGACACAGGAAATGTTTGCCAATAATCTCACAATGAAGTGTCAATATTGGCAAGAGTTCCTATTTCCATACAATTTAAAGAGGGTGAGAAAAGGAACACTTGTACAATAAACACTACAAAGCCAGCTAAAAGTACACCACATTACCATTCGATAAGTTTCTCAAATACGTGCTCGAACAGAGAAATAAAGGAAAAGATGGTCCAATATGTAATTAGCTTCCTCATGTGATACTCGGAGCCAGTCTCAATCGCTCGGATTGAAGCACATCTGCAATTCCACACAAAAATTGGTGAATATTTCCAGCAACAGGATAAATAATACACCAAGAAACTAAATTTGGACAATCGAAGCATTCAATACTTGAAATTCTGAAATGGCTTCGGGTGCATTTGGCATGAAGAAAAACATGGCAAATGTTTCCATAAAAATGTATTGTAAGGAAATTGCTTCCTGTAAAAAATTCTTTCTCCGAGAAATTATTTACTAGATTATTTAATTGGTCGGGTGTAGAAGTGGGTGACATGCTGAGGGGATTTAGCAAACCCAATAGCTTTGGCTCAGACCCTGTATATGTTACAAATTCTAATAAATAAGTACAAATAATTAAATTTGAGACCAATAAATCAAATGGGTTGTTGGTAGAATTTCAAACTTGAACCCACAAAGTTCGAATTCTATATTCGTCTCTGGTGACACACGGTAATGGTATAAGTCAACAATTGGGATATTTTTAAAGAAAAAAGGTTTTCATCCATATATGGAATTGTAAGATCACATAGTATATGGAGTATAGCCCGGTGGTCAATGGAGTGGGAGGGGAACTATGAAATTTTAGGTTCAAATCTCAAAAAGGAACAAAAGAACAGTAAAGTGATTTCATTCCATCTGCCTAAGCCTTGGTGGCCATAGATCATAATTACTCGATACCTAGTTGACTAATCGAGGTGCACCAAGCTAGCTCGAAAACAACAGTGGCGGATGTAGATTATGCCCGCCGGGTTCATCTGAAACCAGTACTTTTGACATGGAACATAAATTTATATGTACAAATTCATTAAAATTGCAACAAATGGTAGGTCTGAACGCATAACTTTAAAAATACAATGAATTCAGTGCTAAAAAACTTAAAAGTTGAACCCACAGAATCCAAATCCTGGACACGCCTCTGGAAAACCACCATCGTCATTAGGGGAAAAAAGGATCACATACTGTGCTACCACAATGTGCAAATTAAATGGAATTACAAAGAATAAAGGAAAGTGAGTAAGGAATAATGGGAAATTCCCAAGACTTACAGAGGATATCCCAGAGCAAGTACAGGCCTGCAAATTTGGTACAGTACATCATGAAAACAAGAGTATAAATACACAATCACATACATGCAAAATAAGTACTTGAATATTTAGAATGGGGAAAACAATAATCAGCATTAATCTGCAAGCTGCAAAGCTAAAATCTTCTTTACTACCTTCACAAAATTTTTTATACCCAAGTTTCCATTTTTACCAAACAGCACTATAATGGAGAAAGTAAACGAACTTACCAAGCTAGGAAATCGATTATTAGAAACGCAAATCCGAGAAAACTCATTCTGGAAAATTTTCTTCTCAGCTGGAGTTGTCTGAAGTTGTTGAGTTTCTATGATCATTATGAAGAGGAAAAGCAGTAAACAGTTTTCGAAATAGGTCTTTTCTTGTGCAGTAATAACAGAAATACCCTAATAATGGTAACTTTGGAAAATTAATAAAATTGACCTTTCTTTAATCCCGTTAAATCAGATTTGTGCCCTAACACTAATTTTTTTAACACCAAAAATAGAATAATCAAATATTGTATTCAGTTAAATTATAGTACTAAGTAAAACTTAGTGTATATAACTTAAAATATTTTAACAAAAAGTATTCTATATTCTCCTTATATAAGTCACAGTTAGCTTAAAAGTGTTTTTTGTAGCCTTCACCTTTACCATTTCTTTATAGTTTTGAAATGGTAGCTCATTAATCAAATATTAAAAGAAAAAAGAGGACTAAAATTTTTAATTTTTTTTAAAAAAGGAACTTGCTTAGAACAAGAACTTCCATCAATTGTTAACGTGATACCTAAACATTGTAAGTACTAAGTATTCCTTTTACCAACTAAGCAATAAAACTAATTACATGAGTCTACTAATTAATCTCTATGTAGCTAGTTCATTGTCTATACTTTTCAGGATCAGTGGTGCAGGTGGAGGTGACCGAACAGAGGCGTGACAAATGGCCCTAGGATATCACAATCACGACATTCACTATAAGGGCCTAAAATTTCTATGGATAAAGCACTATATATAAATATATCAAAAAGTATTAATAATGTTTATATTTATTAAAGAAATTGATATATCATTTGTTATATAAAGGGTTACACTATTAGAGGAGAAACTTTTTTTAATAAGTCATTCTCAGTTATCTATAGTTCTATACTATATTAAAAACGCGAATACCCTAAGCGAAATATCGCTCGGCTTTTTTTACCCTTGAAATATAAAGTTCATACTACATAAAATGGTCATTTTAAATATTTTTCTAATATTTAGGAGCTAGAAATTCGTTGAGATTTGGTTATTAAATATTTCATTCTTTAAATTAGATACCTAAAATTTAGGACTTTAAAATTGATTAAAATTTTATCTTGAATAATATTTAAAAAGTCAACTAATATTTACCTTCAATAAACGTTACTACAAAGTTTATAGACTTGAAGTAGTTCTATATGGAATTGAAAAGTAACAGCGTAATGGTACTCCATTTATTCATGATGAACAAAATAAGTTTTAACAACGATGAGAAGTATTTTTGAAGAATAATTTTACTTTACTTGGTATTTGCAACAAATTACATTAATTTATTCTAATTACGTGATAAATAATGTGAGACTATAATTTTAAAAAAAAAACTACAAAAAAAATGGTGTTTCACTTTTCTTTAAATTTTGTCTTCTTCAATCAATCTAGACTATTATAAAAGTTTGAAACTTCAACGAGAAATTGATCAACCTTTTTATCATTTAAATAAATTTCATAGTAGAAAAAATCATCGTTTAATTATTATTTTTTAATATTTAGGGCATAAATTTACTAAAGTTTGACTCTTAAATCTTTTTTTTATTTGAACCATATAGAAAATCATAATATTTAGGAATGTAATCCCAGTAAGATTATTTATATAAGTCAAGTAAGTTAACTTTCACAAAAATCATAATTTCAAAAATTGTTATCTCACCCGGAATACCAATAATCTATGTGACATTAGAAGCGTTCCATTTCTAGATACCAAGAGATAAAAACTTAAAGCAAATTGTAGAGAAACCATACTCGTGAGCTAACAACTATTTTCAGATCGCTAAAACTTTATAGATTTAAGGTTGGTAATGGTAAAAATGTTAGCTATTTTACGTTATTCTTTTTTAAGAAGAAATTTAATAAAACACTTTCCAAAAGTGTTGTCATAAAGTTTCGTTTCTTCTTGTAGTGTCGATAAATCTATCTAGCGGATAGATATTGCATGTAATCCAAATATCAAATTAGGAATGTGATTAATAGATAACATTCATCATTTTTTTCAGAAATTTGGATTTTTTAAATTTTGCATTACTTTTGAGAATAATATCTATGTAATTTTCTTAAAATCTGTATTCATTAATTTAAAATACACATGCAATGCGTATTATTATGTTGTATTCGGATATTTGTTTGTTTTAAGCATTTTCTTTGCTCAATTTTTTTGTTGTCATTGTGTTTTATTATTTGGTGGTGTATACATACGTTTGATTGTATGTAGCATATTAAGTTTATAAGGAATTTACTACCATCACAAAAGGATAGAGGTCTAAAGCATATGAGAAAAAATTAATTGAACCAGAGATATCAAATTCGATGTATATTTTGTTGTCAATATGCTGGAGTATGTCTGCGTGTTTGTATCATAATAAAATATTGCCGAGATAATTAACTGAATTGTTTACCTTTAAAAGTATATTTAATGTTAACTCAAATCACCATAGGATTTGTACGTCATTAAACATTCTTTGTTACACCCCCATATTTTCCGTACGTGAAAATACGCTATAAGTAAATTGATGGAGCTCGAAAATGAGATGTTACATCCCGCATTTTCATATGTTAAAGTTTCGTCGTAAGTTCGGGAATAAGATTATTTTAAGATTATAAGTATTATGCTATTTCAAACAAGTGCTGAGTAAATTCGTGAAGGTGAGAGGGTAAGCAAATCGAAGAAGATGAGTTTCGTCGAAGTTTGACATTTTAATATAAAATACGGTCCAAGCTATAATATCCCGTATTTATGGACTAGTGTCATACAAAGTACCACATGCCCATGATAGTAGGATACATAAAGTGTGTTAAAAGTGAGTGGTATTTTTAAGTAATTTGAGATAATTCTAAATTATAGGAGAAATTGGTTAATTATTGATTAGTAAAAAATTAACAAGTTAATCAAGAGATTGGTGAATAATTAATTAAGATTATGGATAAACTTAAGAGCCTCCTAACGTGGCAGCAAATGCCATTAGGAAGGTGTGACTCTTAAATCCATAATAAAGTGGCATTAAGAGAGTTTTTTGTGGCTTGATCGTTATACTAGTGGGGCCCACAAAATCACAAATATAAGTGGTCTTCCTACCTCATTAAGGGATGTTATATTGCTAAAGTAACAGATGGAATTGTCAAAGAAGGAATTCATATGAATCCTTTACGATGCTTATGGCAACGTGATTCTACTTCAGCAAACTTATACAAAAGAACGTCCAAGACAAGCAACAAGAAGCCACAAAATTCATACAAGATTAGATGATAGAAAACGTGATTTGCTACAACAAAATTTCATACGAAGTTATACTATATAATAGCAACGGAATTTGCAATTCTAAGGGATCCTGGTATAATCTTTCTCAAAAATATCATACGGATTTTTTCCTACTTCGATCCGTCGTTACGTGTTTATCACAAAAGACGTGTGTTAAAGGGATTGTCAACAGAATCGGCTGTAAACGACCCGACTTATCATTTTAAGAATTAGCGCCCCGTACAGTGGCTTAAAGTCTCGAGAAGCTTTGTAATATGTATTATGACTCGCGGGTGTGGTCGAGTTTGATTTACTGAATATTCAAAATTTTATTAAAAGAACAATTCTTATTTAGAAGTTTAAATGGAAAGAGTTCACCGGAGATTTGACTTTCGAGCAAACAACCCCGGAATAGAATTTTGATGATGTCAACAGCTTCGTATGATGATTTCAGACTTAGGCGTATGTTAGGATTTGGATTTGGAAGTCCGTAGAACAATTCGTCATATTTTGGCGAAAGTTGGGTAATATGAAATTTTGAAAAAGTCTGATCGAAGGGTGAAATTTTGATAACGAGGTCGAATTTCGATTACGGAAATGAGAATAGCTCCATTAAGTCAATTATGACTTGTGTGCAAAATTTGAAGTCATTCCGGATTGATTTGATACGTTTCGACGCAAAATATAGAAGTTGGAAGATTTGAAAACTTATAATTCGATTCGATGCCCGATTCGTAATTACGGAGTTGTTTGACGTGGTTTGAAGCCTCGACTAAGTTCGTATTGTATTTTGGGATATGCTGGTATATTTGATTAAAGTACCGGGGGCCTCGGGTGGATTGCGGAAGGTTAAAGGAGTTGATTTTTGGATGAGATAATTGTTGGAATTTGTTGCTGTTTTTGGGCAACAGCTGTTTGTTTCGCTACTGCGGATGTCTGATTGCAGAAGCGAGATGAAGCTCGCAGAAAAAAAATCTGGGTAGGCTGGACGTTGGTCGCAGAAGCGAGGGTCTGGGCGCACCTGCGACAACGTAGGTGCGGAAACAAGCACGCAGAAGCGGAAGAAGGCAGTTGGGCATGTCTTCGTAGAAGCGACCGTTTTGTCGCAGAAGCGACATCGCAGATGCGCATTTTCTTCCGCAGATGTGAGCTCCTGTTGGGCAGTGGACATTGGGACTTCGCAGATACGCATTTTGGCTCGCAAAAGCGAGTCCGCAGATGCGCAAAAATCTGTCCACATAAGCGGAACTTGGCAAAACATAAAGGAGCAAAAATGGTCATTTCGCCATTTTCGATTGGATTTTTAGAGCTTGGTTTTTGGGCGATTTTGGAGAAGTTCTTCACGACTTCGACTTGGGTAAGTATCCTATATCCAAAAGTGATTATATTTCATAAATTCATGATTATATGCATCGTTTAATTTAGATTTAAATGGA